ACAACTCATAGATCAGCTACAGATAAAGAACTCGAGCTGGAACAAATTAATCAAGAACTCCAGGAGATATTACAATCAGAGGTAGCTATCAACAAGTCGAATGAGAAATATATAAAGGATCTGGAACATAAATATATCCAGTGTGAGAATGAAATTCAATCTCTCAATAAAGAACTGGAACGGCTTGAGAATGCTTCAGAGAAAAAAAAGACGGAGTTGAGATCAGAAATATCATCCCTTAAAAAAAGCTTATATCAAGCTAAAAAGGAGATCTGAGATAAGATATCTTATATCAATAGTATAGAGAAACAATTACAAGAATCGAAAAAGCAGATTCAAAATTTAAGACATAGATTCAAAGTTATTTCTTCGAGAAGAAGCTCTCCAAGTTTATATAATTCAGAAGAAGATACAGATATGACGAATCTTGATCTTTTTATACAAATTGATCGAGACTTAACTTGAATTGAAAATTACATCTGAGATGCTGGTACTCCATTAAATAATCCTATCAATATTATAAATAACATTAGAGGCTCTTTGAATGCTGTCTGTCTTAATTACCAAAATGCGTATCAGAATATAGTCCAATGAGATAATTGGAATAATCAAGTATTGCAGTTGCAACAAGATGTTAATTATTTTAGAGAGCAAAATGCTAATCTCCAGAATCAAGTTAATCAACTTATTCAGGAGTGAGATATCTTACAAAATTATGTTAATCAACTTATATTAGAGCGAGATATCTTGCAAAACTATGTCAATCAACTTATATCAGAACGAGATGCCTTGCAGAATTGTGTCAATCAACTTACTCGAAATCTTAATAACAGTCAACAAAGATATAATTTGCGAGGGCATTTGTGGTTAAATGCAAGTTTGATATGGGATGAACAATCAAAACTCAAACATGTTCTTGAAATTATTATAAGGTATTTATTCATCGCTTAGAACAGGAACTACAACAATACTGAGCTGATAAAGGATTATTAGAATATAATCGAAATCAAATCTTTGATAGATATTACAATAAATTCAAGAATCGAAAGGCAAGTCATATCAAGTGGAAAAATAGGGAACACAATTCACAGCAATTAATTTTGAATTTACAAGGACAAATTTTACATTTACAGAATAATCTATTACTAAATCCATCTCAGATACAAATATCGAACATGATAGAAAATGGACCACCTCTTTTTACTGGAAAAGCTGGAGAAGATCCATCAGATTGGATTTTAGAATTCAAGAGATTTGTAATTGCATTTCGAATAAATGTTATAACTGGTGCAGGAGGAGTTGCTGGTAGAGCAGGAACATATAATTTAGGTATATCATGTATGATTGGTGAAGCAAAAACCTGGTATGAAAATGAGATTAAAAGTAGAAACTGGCAATGTGATAATATTCTTGATGGTACTGGTGTAAATAACTTAAATGCAATTCGAGCATTAAATAATGACGTTTTAACAGGTATTAATGCAAATCAGTTTCTTGGAGAAACCTTGATTATAAGAAATAATGCTGGGGGTGATAATACAATAATTGGTGCTAATATTATTTCAGTGAGTACATGGGATGAAGATTGGAGTATAGCTAAAGAACATCCCGTACCTGTAAGAACTCCATCTCCAGCCAATTATGCAAATGTTAGTGCAGGTAATTCAATTGTTGCACCTGAAATAACTCTTGGACAATTTTTATACTGTCTTGAATATCTTTATCCTACGGTTGAAGCACAAAAAAATTTGCTTTTCTTTGATCAGATTATGCAAGAAGGTATATCAATACTCGAGTATAATGCCAAAATATCAAAACTCAGAAAACTTGCTGGATTACCAGAATCAAAAATGAGAGAACAGTATATTTGGGGATTAAATCCTATGAATCAATACAATGTCTGCATGATGACTAAATACCATGATACTAGAGATAATATTACAAAAGCATTAGTTGAAGCAGAAAAATTTTCACTACTATAAGGCAACTTTCCATTTCCACCTTCTGGAGGTCAAGTGTCTAATCCCTATGAAAAAAGTATCAATACAGGTTTGACTGAAGCTGAAGTTAAAAACTTGATAAAATCTATGATACCAGCTACACAATCTACTACTTCTAAGCCTCAAGAAGAACAATCTAATCAAATTGCACTTTCACAAAATGATTTCAAAAAAATTATAATGGGTTTAAAGGGAACTATTGCTAAAGGACAACAAACTTTGAAGAAACTCCCTGAACCAGAAAAACGAAAAGCTGATGATCTTGCTATGGATTGTTTTTTAAAAAATTTAATAGATGATACAGGTTTATCTGGAGAGAACTATGACTATGATCTTGTTGAAGATTTGAGACTACAATTCGAGTAGTTGGATATTGTTATTCCAATTCTTTTAACAGTATTTATATAGCAAAAGATCTTTAACAGGTCTTTTTTTACAGTTATAAGAGGAGATAGTGGATCAAGTTAAGTTTATTATTAAGAAAGTTATACATTATAATTATAATAGTTTCAAGATAGTTTTATTAACAAAGCTTCTTTATTACTATACTTTTCACTATTGCTGCCTTTGTTGGCGCTCTGCACATAGACTATACAAGTATATAATACAAGAATAACAATATTATATAGACTATACCAAGTCTATAATC